TCATTAGTGGACTCACTACTTTGGAATGTTGGGTTTATCCATGTTCTTTGGTATTTCAACATAGAAACAGCTATTCTTTTTAAAGGGTTAAAAATATCCCAGTCCAATCCTCCTGGGAGGTACTAATCTTATTTAATTGCCTTCTCTTTCAGCATAAGTAGAGGAGACACACTTTTAAAGGCCCATTGGTCACCCTGGCTTCTTTTTCTTACTCAGGAACTACTGATAAAATCAAAGGGGACTAGACTGGACATTGAAAGAAACAGGGCTCAAAATAGCCTTTTACATAAAAAAAAAAAAAAAAAAAAGAACAAACCAGCACTATCTACCATCTGTGCCAGACAGTGCAGATGTGAAATAAATACTTTGCAGGGAGAGGTGTGGTGGAAAGGGTGGCTCTGAAAGCCTAGGCACATCCAACATACCCACGCCTCTATAAGGCCTTTCTCCTTGGCCTTCCTGAATTAATGGGTGATTTTTAGAGGCCTCTGATGTGTTCCACATGGCTAATTTTCCATTAAGGTCTTTGTAGTTTGCCTGCTATCCTCTCAATAACTTTAACTTCTCCCCACATGACAGTTATTGCTTTTTAGAAATGAATGTGCAGAACCATGAACAATAAGCCGTTTTCTCCTTTTATCCCTAGTAATTAATCAAACTCAATAACAACACAAAAGTAACAACTCAGGTGAAAAGAAAACTCACTTATGTCTTCAATGTCCAATCAACATTGCCGAATGGGAGACTAGTATGTACTGTACTCTACTATATACAGATACTCTTTGTTTTATTTGTTTTTCACCATGCACTGTGTAACAGGTTATCACAACAACATTTCTGAACAGGCACACGAACAAGGAGCAAATGTTCAGTCATGACTGGAACAAGATTGTGCAAGCCATGGATACCTTTGAAAATAAAACTGACAGACAATCCCAAGCAACAGCAACATGGGACTGGGACACATATTAATGCAAATGGAAAATGATGATGTGTTTTTTGAATGGGGTTATTCTCACTGTTTGCATAGGGGATGGCAGGTGGACAGAAGGAACAGGGTTGGGATGGGGCACCTGGGGGCTTAGCTGGGCTGGATGCTGGAAGAAGGACCTTGCTAATCACAGTCCAGAGCTAATGAGATAAGAAAGAAAGGATTTCGAATGTTTCTGGGAATCTAGGCACGTTTTCCTTGTACCTGTTAAACGAGAGTGCCGGGTATCACATCTTTAAATACCAGACTATATCTAGAACCATCAGATTTCCTGGCTCCATTCCACTCTCATGCTTCTTCTTGGAGGCAGCTTCACCTCTGCTCACATTCTGGAGATAAGCGTGAACTTTGGTAATACAATGAGGACATGCTTCTTTCTTCTTCCATGCCCAGATTTTTTTCTTAATCCAAAATAAGTTTTAAAGTGATTGGGGGAGGTGAGGGAGAATATTAATGATTTAAATTTTTACCAAAACCCATTTACATGTGGATGGTTTCACTTCCCACGAAGAAAAGCAACAACCCTGACTCTCCCAACAAAACAAAACAAAACAAAATAACAAAAATAAAGCCAAACATTAACTACCTCCCCAGCCCCACTGAAAACAAAATCAAAAACAAGAAAACAAATCAAAGCCTGAAGGATTTATGAACCTGGTGAGAGTGCAGCCCTTCTAGACCGAGCTGCAAAGATGGCCCTGCCTCCATGCCTTGTTCAACATGATGATGCCCCTGGGAATGGGAGGTGATGGTTTTTGACTTCGACCCTAGTACAGAGTATGCTCTTGAAGCTGGATTCCATCAGCAGGTAAGTGAACATGACAAATGTCAGTTTCCTCTGTCCGTTATACATAATTTTTATGTATATATATGTATATATATATAAATTTACTATATCTGATAGTTCCTTTAGAAGCCTTTTATGTGGCAGTAGGCCTCCAGGGAGGAGAAGAAAATGTACAAGAGCCATAGGAGCACAAAGAGGCAGGATGTGAGGAGCTTGGCAGTCCGGGGCCCACCCAGCTCACCTCCGATTTCTGGCCTCCGCCGATACAGCAGCACCCCCACATTGATGAAAGCAAAAATGGTGAAGAGAGTGACAGAGAAAGCTAGCGTGCCAGGGGACACTTTGAACTGTTCCCCATTGGCTGCATGGTAGATGGCAGCGATGGACCAGGCCACACCGATTCCCAGGAAGACGTTCACCGCGTTGCTGCCCGTGACGTTACCTATGGAGGCGTCTGCATACTGGTCCTGGGTGGCTGCCACTTTGCTGGCAAACGTGTCTGCAGAGGAAGAAGAGAAAGTCAATGACACTCATTCTTTTAGAGATGTCTTTTGAGTGCTGCAAGCTTCAGCTGTGTACTCTAGGATCCAACCCTTGATATAAACCCAGTGACCAAGAGATGGCTTTGATGTTCCTTTGAGTCAGACTCATGGGGTGGAAAGAACAGGATCTAGATATTGGGAGTTAAGGGTTCAGTGCTGGCTGTGTTACGGACTGAGAAAGTGATCTTGGTCAAGTTCTGTATCCACAGATACTGCAGTTCTTTGTAATATTGAGCTTGCAGGGCAGCATTTTTTCAGAAAGTAGTCACAGCTCACATCAGAATCAAGTGGGGTCCTTTCCAAAACTGAGTATTGCAAGGTGCCATTCAGCTGTGCTGGGCATAATGACAGCGGCCTAGGAATCTATTTTAACAGTATCCTAAAAGATTCCAGGTCACTAAAGTTTGGAAACAGCTGCTGGAGGATATTACTAAAAGATGCTGTATCAGCAGCTCTAGTTTATAGATGAGAAAGTTAAGATGTCAGGAGAGATTTTTCAAGATTCAAGAGCAAGCCAATAGTGGAACTGAAAAGAATTGAACTATAATAGTGTAGCTGACGTTTGCTTAGAGCTTTAAGAATAAGAAAGCAGATTCAGCTATATTACTGCATTGACTGTGATGGTAATTTTATGAGGTGAGGGAACAAGGCTTAGGGATGAGAAGTATTGGATGCAATATCACAACTAGGAAAAAACCATGTTAGGGCTACAGCTCCTGCTTCATGTCTTCAAGGCTAATGCTTTCTCATGGCGCTCTTCTACCTTTCACTGTGCTGTGGGCACCAATGACCATTTTCAAAGCACTTTATTTACTAGTAATCCTGACTGTATCTTTTTGTGATGATAGGAAAATCTTGGTCCACTACAGACGGTTGAACAACAGTGACTTGAACTTCTTGATGGGTAGAACACGGGGGTTTAGAGCACATTTGAGCCAGGGGACTTCAAATCCTGCCTTCACAGCCGACTCTGTGACTCCGAAAGATTACTTAACTTCTCTGGGCCTCAATTTCCTAACCTGTTAAATGGGGATAGTGCTGCTCACTTCAGAGTGCTGTTGGTAAGCTGAAATATTACATGTAAATAAAATACTTTTGATGCTTTTTGACACAAAGTAGGAGAGGCTGTTTTTGTTGTTTTGGAAACAATATAAACTGAGCAGACTAGATCAGTTTAAAAGTTGAGGTAGGATCTGAAATAGCTTCCTATATTAAACATGTGAACAGAACTTGCAAGATACTAAATTTCTTGTCTATATTATGCCTACTTCCTGACATAAAAGTGCTGGCTGGGCACAGCAGCTCATGCCTATCATCTGAGTACTTTCGGAGGCCAAGATGGGCAGATCACTTGAGATTAGGAGTTTGAGACCAGCCTGGCCAACATGGTGAAACCCTGTCTCTATACTAAAAATACCAAAAAAAAAAAAAAAAAAAAGAAATAATAAAATAACCAGGCATGGTGGTACACACCTGTAATCCTAGCTACTTGGGAGGCTGAAGCATGAGAATTGCTTGAACCTAGGAGGTGGAGGTTGCAGTTGCAGTGAGCTAAGATCATGCTACTGCACTTCAGCCTGGGCAACAGAGCGAGACTCCATCTCAAAAAATAAATAAAAAATCAGACAAAGTCCTTTCAGCTACCTTGAACAGTAGGTTTATAGCAGATATTAATAACTGTCAAATTGGACTTATTTTCAAAGCCAGTAACAGCAAGCATTAAATGACTACAAGGTGTTGTGTTATCTGCTCTGGTCCTCCTGAGCTACTGGGCATGCTCTGAGCATGTATGTAGTTGTACGTATGATACCTGGACTAGTCTCTCCCCTCTGTTGTTATGCTATTGCCACCATCCTTCTTCAGTAAGCTTCCAGTGGGGAAGATATGTTCAGCATGTAAATTTAGGTCAGCCCATGGATTCTCCTGCTTTACAATGGCTAAGAAGGTTTTTTAGGCTACTCAAAGGCTATTGCATCTGCAATATCACATTCTTTCTGAAAGGGAGTTGGTCAGCTCTGAAGGCCTGTCTCATCGATTCTGCCCTCTGCCTGTGATGGAAAGGAGATCTGAGTATTATTTCATAATTAAAGAAGTAGGCAAACACTGCTTATTCCATGCTAGGCACTATGCTACACAGGCGACGTGTATATTCTCATTCAACCCTCTCACAAGCATTATGGGCTAGATGTCATTACTTCCTTTTCATGACATGCGAAACTGTGACATTGTGATATTATGCCTCTTGGATAGGGTCTTAGCAAAATGTGAATCTTTAAACCAAAGTTTGATTTCAGAGCCCATTCTCAGTCCACACCACATTGCCCCTTCCAGGAAGCCCGAAGTTTGTCTTTCCTCTTAGTTCGTTTCAGGTGGTCCTGTTCCTTTCACTCAGAAACTGTGAAGCAGGTTCTTTCCAAATGCTCTTTCCTGTATCAGGAGAACAAAGATTGAAGAAGGTATGGGCAGTCTGTGAATCCAGACTCCTGGATTTGTGCTGCTTTGTGCATTCATGATCACACATTGATGCAGCCCAATCAACTATCACAGAGACTGGTGAGTAAAAGCAAAGCGAGACAAATCTTAATGGTTTCTTGTACTTCATTATTAAAAGTTAATAGAAACAGGGCAGCAGCAGTCTCAAAAAGAAAAAAAGGAAGTTGCTTTTTTTTTTTTTTTTAAAAAAAAAGGTCAGGCAGTGGAACAAGGAAAGTAAAAGAACAAGAGTCTGAGGCAGGAGAAAGCAGCTTCCAGCTCAGCTACGGCTGAGAAACACCTGAGATGTTATTCTAAGCTGAAATGACTGGTAGCACTGGCTGGTGGTGAACAGATGGCCATGTTAGGTGGGGCAGTTGCAGGGGTGGTAATTCCCTCTGTATGCTACAGGGACGGGTGACCTAGTGCTGTTCCATAGCATACACCTGCTTACCTCCCCCGGTAGCTGGTACATTGCACATTGGACTTCCTGGGTACCCCATATGTACTCAGAAACTCTGGGCTTTCTGGATGGCACCTTTGCTGCTGCACCAGAAGGAAAGGAAGTTTAAAATCAAAGACTCCTGGGTCTGGGGACTCAAAGCACTCGAACCAGTCCTTTAGGCTGACATGGAGGGCATACCTGGGTATGCAGGGATTTCCTCTCCCTCAAGCCATTTATCAGTAGCCTATTAATGTGAATGTTGCATGAAGATTCTTACTTGTAATAATAATAGGTTCCTATTTTCAAATGTCTCTTTTTTCAAATGTATTTCTTTGAATTTCCTAAAAGTTAATAGCCAAAGTGACTAGCTTGTCACATAAGTAAAACATGTTTTTGGCTACTTTGTGTCCCATAGGTTTTATTTACTTGGGTTAGACATCAGACCTTTTGTCTGTTTTTATTTTCAATTCAAAAGCAATGTAAAAAAAATACTGCAGGAACACATGCAAATCCAAACCACTAACCTTAGCTCCAACAGAGAGAGCTCTGTTTTCCAAATGAAGTGCGATGGATTCTCCCCAAATTACCTTTTATTGCCGCTTTGCTGCTCAACACATAGGGCAATCCATCACATACCATATGTTAGGTGCTGCCAAGCCTTACCCTGAACACTAAGACTGTAACCTGCCTATGGTTAAACCAGGCAAATGCCATTTCCTAAAATAAAATCCAAGAAATAACTACTGCCTTGGGCTTGAAGGGGATATAATATTCAGAGGTTGGCACATTAGATTAAAACATATATGGATCAGATTTCCAATGCAATTGACACAAAATATGTTGATAACAACGTATGTATTTTTTCCTTCATATATGTCCCTGGCTAGGTTTTTAATAGTTTTTGTTATTAACTCCCACCTTGAATTCTAATTAATTTTAGATCAGTCATACAGTTTTAGACTTTTAGTCCTGTCTCCTTGATACATATGACTATAAATCAAGAAGGAAGACTGTCAAGGAGAGAGCATGGCTGGAATTAAACTACACATCACAAAGTCAGGACGTAATTGTTCTTTGCAGGCCTGCCTCAAGTTCATGGTCTATAACCTTGTCCCAGTCATCTAGTCAATATGTAAAAATAGGACAATACTCCCCCTTTCCTACAACAATTATTCTTTACCTAAATTTCTCAAACTTCATTGCTACTTATAGGATAAGCATTAAATATCTCTTCTATAAAAAAGGTCATTCTCACAGTCTTGCAGGATGGACTTACGGATAATGTGTTATCTGGAGCAAGGGTTTCACCCAAGATGGTTCATCTTATTCTTGGCTCTTAGAGTTCTTTGGAGACCAACTGTTCAGCTCTCCAGTGCTTCATGCCCAGGAACTGACACTGGCAGTGGTTTTAATTGGAGTCCATCCTGGTTATGAAGGTCTGCTTGCTTCTCCCAGCAACCACACCTTGATGTATTCATTGACTGACAAAGAGGCAGCCAGAGCGTACAGATCTTCATGGTGTAGTAGTGGAAGAAGCCTCATCAAAGAGACTCTAGGCTCTTCCAACTATCTGTATGTTCTTGGCAAGTCACTTCACTTTTTTAGATTCCAATTTCCTCATTTAATTAGAGTATCTCTAAGACTCTTTCTAATTTTACTGTTTGGGTGGTGCACAGAATAGACTAAAATACTAAATTTATATGCAGTGTATGATTTTGGTGTTTTTTTGATAAGAGTTTGTACATAACCACTCTCAACAATAATTAACTGATGATTACAACTATCTTATTGTGAAGAATAAATGACTTAAATGAAGTATTTGAAAATCCTAGGAAGATCTCAAGACCTGAAGATACTACCTTTGATCAAACTGTGACAATATTTATGGAATTAAACTGCACAGCACAGTCATTTACCTTTTAAAATTAGATAAGAAATGTTGGCAAAATTATCACCTTCACATCACTCTGACTGGCCATTCATTGATATGAGTGAAGCCAAGGTGGCAGAGAGATGACCATGTTTCAAAGGCTGTGTCTAATGTTAATAAAGTCAGAAGTGCCTGGAGAGCTTTGCTTAAAAAATGTAGATTTGGGGTTTCACCCCCAAGCTTGTCCAGCCTGCCTTATTTTGTTGTTGTTGTTGTTCTGTTTTGTTCTGTTTTAGGTTTTTAGCAGCCTGAAGCCATGGTTTTTAGTTTCTGTCTCTAGTGATAAGCAGAAAAGAGGGGTGACGAAGGGGTTTTACTGGCCTAACCAGAAACAGAAACTAAGAAGCCATGACTGTATTCTCTCTCGGACATCCCTGCTAGATCCACTTAATCAGACTCTCTGAGGACGGGATACAGAAATACACCTTTTAACAAGTGGCTTAGGTTGTTCTTATTTATACCAAGGCTTGAGAACCATAGCTGTAAGACACGGGAAGGGGAGCTAGCACTCCAAGTGCCCAGTTTTGGGGGTTTTCCTGTGAGTAATAGATATTTGAGTTTCAGGGAAGCAGTTAAACAGAAGTAAGGAGAAGCTGGTTTCTCTTAGAAACATGGATGACCTTGGTTATTTTGCTGATAAAATGTGGGTAGGCATCTTGGAGATGCTGGGGCTGCTTAATTGTAACTCCTTCCACTCACAATATGGTTATTCTCCTATTTTTTTTTTTTAAACCCTGTTCCAGCTACCCTAAAAGGCCAAACGAGGGAGAATCTACCTAAATTGATTGAATTCTGCTGCTCTGTTTGCCAGGTTGGAAACTTACCTACTTCATAGGGTTTTGAAGGAAATGAGTTAACATGAACAGAATAGGATCTGGCACTTAATGGACGTTCAGTATTATTAGCTATATTTATTATACAACAGAGCCAGATCCCCAGAGAATCCATACATGGTAGGGAATTCTGACTATTGCCAATGATTCTATACTTTTAAGGAGTTATAACACCCTTGAAAAATTATTAACTTGACAATCCTTTGCATTTAGAAGTGTGATAGTGCTTACAATTCTTAATTATTTTACTTTGAAAATTTCATACAACCAAAGTCATTAAAAGACATTAGAGCTCTTTTGGTTTAAAGCCCAAATCTTACTAATGGCTGTGAGGTAGATGTCTTTGCTTAAACAGTGTATATATTCCTCTCTTTTTTCTCCTTTTCTATACCCTCATCTGTCTTGCTCTTTTAGAATCAAAAGAGAAATATTGTTTACTTAGGTACTTGTTCTTCTGCTGTCATTGAAGACCTTAAACAAGCATTTGTCTTTGGTTGTGATATGTATTTACCCAAGTAAATAGAAAACCTCTCTCTCTCTCTCTCTCTCTCTCTGTCTCTCACTCACTCACTCTCTCTCTCTCACTCACTCTCTCACTCACTCTCTCTCTCTCTCTCACACACACACACAAACATACACACACACACACTTCACTGGTTCATGTGAAAAGAATCATCATTTGGCTTCCAAGTGAAGTTCAAGAGGTAAGGGAATTGCTGATTTATGATTGATTAATAACCAGGTAGATGAGGAGTTGAAAAAAGGAAACACACTGAAAATTTCTGCCCATAAAAGTTGTCCTTGAAGAGGGTAAAGAAGAAATGGAGACAGTGACATGACCTACTTTTAGAAGAGAAGGAAATAGAGATAAGTAAAAAGTTCAAGAGGACCTCTATTGGCAGGATCAGGGCACCTGCTTCTAGTCACTTTTGTCCCCAGCTACAAATGAGAGTCAGCAGGATAACTTTTGAAAACACGAACTTGTTAGCTCCACCTTGAGTTTCTGCTGAATCGGCCAGAGATGCGGCTGGAGCGTTGATATTTATCAAAGCTTTCCCAACCAGATTGAGCTCCACTAACGGACTACTCCCAGCCCTGGTTTCTTTGTCCCTGTAAGGAGGACAATGATGCCTTCCTTGGATTAACTGAGGTAATGATGCATGGAATGAGTGACGCATAGATTTGTTTTTAAAGTAAACATTTTTGTTATTGAACAAATTAGCTATTTTTCATTTTTTACATGTTAACATGAATGTTTGTACTTTGTGGGCTTAGTTTTCCTACTTTGTATCTGATATCCTGCTATATTTTAAGTTCAAAGAAAGAAATTTATTCTAATTAAAGGAGAGAAAAAATGGAGGTTTATTTTTCAGGGATCACAAAACAGAGAAGTGAAAGGATACAAACTAGCAGTGCAGCACTGTTTGATCTGCTTTCCAAACTGTAATTCAAGTCATGTTCTCAAAGAAAATGATAACACTCTACTACACACACCTAGAATAGGATTATTTTTCAGTGTGATGTTCACAGGTGTCCAAGAGAGGATCCAAGGGGTGTTGACAAGGTCTAGATAACTGATACATTTGACAACGGACAGAGTCCAAGGAAAATATCAAGAAGCTTCATCATGTTCAACTCCAACTGTGAATACACAATGGTAAAGCAGCTGATCGTGTGAAAGAAAATAAATACAATTATTCCATAGAGAAACATCAGGCTGACTCCTTTAGCAAACATGGATCAGAAACAGATTAAGGAGGAGCTATTTTCATGAAAGACTCCTTATTCTTTAATACCATTAATGGAGATAATTCTCTGATAAAGAAAATTACACTCTGACACTCAGATACACACACTCACTTCACTGGTTCATGTAAAAAGAATCCTCATTTGGCTTCCAAATGATGAATAATTTTTTTTTGATTCCTTAAATTCTTGGCTTCTCCTGGCATTACATTTAGGCTGTCTTTATAGTACTTTAAAATGGGCTGGAATGAACCTGCTTTTAAAATAGCATCAAGTTTTTGATATTTTCAGTTTTGAACCATGATTCTATTACTTTCATGATAACCCTTATTTTAATAATGCAAAGTCTGTGAGGGCAAAAAAAAAAAATTAAGATTTAGTAAAGCAACATTTGGCTAATTTTGAAAAGGAAAAAAGGGCAAATCTGAAGCTAAAACAAATAGCTGACTTAATTGTCATTTTCCCAAGCCAGATGGTTTGTTATTAAATAGATATAACTGAAACTAACTTCCTGCCTTAAATACAATCTAGGGCTGCCCTGCACTGATCAGTGCCTCTGACTCCTCCCTTCCTAATCATCTCCCTTTTTCAGCTAATCCTCCTTGCATTTGAAGCCTAGTTCTGTCTTCTATGCTTTGTTCTATTTCTGGATCATCCATCTCCTATTCAAATCTCCTCAAATTCTCTTCTCTCCTATTTAGAGATAGTAAAGACATAGGTTTTCCTGTCTTGCTAGAGCTAGTTGAGAAGGATCAGAGAGAGAAACTGTACTCTAAGTTGAAGAGAAATATAAAGAAAATAGAAACCTTCATTCTCACAGGCAGGTAGCCTTAATGGGTTACAAGGAAACTTCGTTGTCAGCTGGATTATACTGGTGTGATTTTAAGTGTATGGATCTAGACAATATGCTGAAGACATGTGCCTTTCCCCAATGGATATCTACCCAGTTACTCATTCCACAGAGACATTTTTTGAAGGGGTTGCTTTGTGTATTATCAGCTCACAAAAATATTAACACTATTAAAAGTAGGCCACTGCATGCAACCTCAATCCAGCACAGGAGGCAGCACGTGACACTTGAGGACAGGTGAGTCTTGAATGGGTTCTGAAAATTTCCAATAATTCACTCATTTTGCCTTCCACTTTGCTGTGATTTGGTGTAAAATTTCCTCCATTAACCCATTCCTATAGATTAGTCATAGGATACAAAAAAGCATATATACCTATCAAAAGCCTGAAAAGTCTGCAAACTATTTGGCCCAGCAATTCTCTACTTCTGAGGCTCTAGAAGCAATTTTACAAGCACACAAATTTATATCAGGGATTGCAGCAGAGGTTCTGTGTTAGAGAAAAATTAGAAACAATTGTCTGTCATTTTAGAAAAAATAATTTGCAACTTGATATAACATGATATTGTGCAACTATTAAAGTACACTAACAAAAACATTCATGACACACTGCTAAGTGAGAAAGCAGGTTATATAACTATGCCTACTATCAGTGCATAGTGTGGGTAAATATTTGCTATATATCTGTATACACATTTTTTGTGCAGTTTATTTAAATATCCCAGGATTTCACAATTTTAAAGGTGCGAATGGCTGAATGTAGATGGTGGTGAGATAGCAGGATTTCTTTTTCTTGTTTGTTTATTAACATTTTCTATTTTATTTACAAAGGGCATGTATTGTTTATTGCTTGTGCTATTAAAAGCTAATAAATACAGGTTTAAAATAGATATATAAATACAGAGTCTATCTGGGAAGGATGAATGGTTGAATTTCAGCTTCTTCCTGGTCCTTTTGGTTAATTCAGCAGTCATCATTACATTAGACAAATCCTTGGATGAAAAGCATCCTACATACTACACACAGAGCAGGTGCATCTCAAAGGGTGTAGCAGGGAGGAGGAAGGAGTGGAATAGAAGAGGAGGAGATAACTTTGACATCAGGATCTGACCTGGGATCCAGTGTCAGGAGGGTGCCTAGGACAGTTCACAGCATGGAACAAGAATCCTAAAACCCAACTTCACCCACTATGAACGTTTGCCCAGCACCAGCTGTGAAGGAGAGATGTGTTTGTCTTCATTTTTCCCATCTATTCCTGTTAAGCATTGAAGAACTGCAGAGCAGCACCAAAATCCTCTCAATTTTATATTTTGTGCTACAAATACCTTATATTTTATTACTAACAGTATGTTTTAGTGACTTCCACCTACAAAATTGCTTTGCATATTCACTTAACCTGACAAATACCTTTTACAAGCTTGTTAAGAGATTCATATCCTTGAGATGTTTGGGAAGGGGCTGCAATGCCCGTCTTTCATCATTTGTGCTTGGGCTCTTACTAGATAGGTAATTTGTAATGCAAAACAAAACAAAACAAAACAAAAAACCCGGAAAATAAGGCATAGAGCTCTACCTAAGCTGCTAAGAATATGCCATGAGCCTGATTTCTCAAAATCTTCTCCTTTATCTCTCTCCCAGGGATGTAGGATAGCTTCTTGTGGATACTTAACAAAAGATAAGTATCTTTTGTTAAGTATCTCTTATTTTTATAGATTCTTGTAATTTCCAGAGCATGTCTATGAATGTTATACTATCTGCCATGCCTGACAATTCTGAGGAGGAAGATGGGTGGGAACAGTTACCCTTAGTTTCATTTTGTCAGAGGAGGAAATGGAAGCTCCTTAGGGGTCAGAAGAATGTGAGGGCATGAGGTGGGATTAGAACCCACATCTTGTAATTTCTGGTGTTCAGGTCCTCATGCTGCCAGTCCATTTCCAGGGTCCTTCATTAACTTGCCAGATAACAACCCCATACTCTGAACATGATAATACATCTATGCTGCCTAACTCTCAGGGCTGCTGTGGGTATCAAAGAGATAAATTATAAAAACATACTTTTAAAATGATGAAGCTATACAAATGTAGTTACTATTAAAGCATTTTGTGTGTGTGTGTGTGTTAAATGCAAGGGGTCTGCCTTCCTGAAACCATCATTAACCATTGGGATCTTACTGTGATCATTTGTTGAATATTCCAAAGTCATAACTAATCCAGAATATTTAGAATGGAGGGTCTGTGGGAGAAGAATCCAGGGCAGTGGGGTACCATCTGTTGAGAACAGAGTCGGTAGGGGGGCTCATATGAGAGTACCAGGTGCCGGAGTAAGAAGGAAAAATAATTCAAAGCCATTATTTGAAGTGGAAAGAAAATAACTTTTCACAGTTTCTGAGACTAGACCTGCCTGAGTAAATCTTGGGGTGGGGATAGGGGGAACACAGATTAGAGATCTGAAGTGTGATTTGTTAGAGATTAGTGGTGTAAAAAGTCAAAGCCCCCAATTAAAATACCCCCTCCCCCACATAAACACTCTCTATTTTATGGCTCCATGATCTCGCTTTATTTTCTTCTTAACAATGTTCACCTTCTGTGCTACCTGAAAGTTTATCATCTGTTTATAAGTACCAGTCTTACTCCATGGGAGTAAGATGATATCATCTGTCTTGTTTATCCCTATCTCTGCCATGCTCAACACTGGCCAGTACATAGTGGGGGCTCTTTAAGTATCTGAGAATGAATGAAAAGACATGCAGAATGGCTTGAAAGCCTATGTTTTGCCACTGGCTTATATTGTTTCCTTTGTTTTAGTTTTTTAAAATGGTATTTATCTCTTTTTAAATGCCTTTATGAATGGTGTAGAGGAAAAACCACTTGAAAATTTGATGATCAAGAATGCCACATTGCTTTCAGAGACTCAGTTTGGGCTTCCTAGTTAGCTACTGGCATTACCAAAATACAGTGTTTCATTGTGAATATTTCTTGTCACTAGTATTCCACTGTAGACTCAGTTCAGTTATAGAAGCTATAGATGAAAGAAGTTAATCTTTACTCTCAGGATAAGAATACGTGACGTAGTAGAAATTATTGTCAGGTTCTTCTAAGTGGTTTGCCCCATTTCTCCCCAAAGCACAGACTAAAGGGCAGGAAGCACTTCCAGCCACTTCCAGTGCAGCCTCATACCAAGTGCTGGTTCCCCTCGAGCGACCAGAACTGCAGTCCTCTAATGTAACAAGTGGGTTAGTTTTGGGGTTCTGATTTGCCATATTTCAACCATCTGAAGGCTCATCATACACAGAATCCTTCATAGAAGGACATTTTCATGCTCACTTGGCATAGCTGTGGTTAGCTGTTGTTTTGCAACTATAACTCAGGAATCACAGGCTATGATAAATCCTCTGGTGGGCCCATCTGCGGACCCCAATGGGATCATTTTAGTCTGGAGCTGCAGCAAGCCTTTTGTTATCTTGACCCAGGAGTTTTCACAATGATAACCTAATAATAGCTTATAATTTATGGAGGACTATGCCAAAAAGTCCCCTGGGCTCCAGAGAGGCAGGATGGGGTGGGGAGCAAGCCAGGGAGAAAAAACAAACATGACACATAATTTCTTGATTGTAACTAATACAACCAAAATAAGCTGTTTTCTCCTTGAGCACAACATATAGGATTTGTAGATGCTTAGCTGAAAAAGGTTATCAAATATGGGCACTAACGGAGTTAATGTTTTTAGATCATGTGCTAGAAAAGATGGATTGAACAATGCAAAGCATCTGATGGATTGAAATCCTTTTCTGGAATGAAGCAGAGTATAAACAAGTAATACAGAGCTTATGTTTCATTCCTGAGCAAAGGCAGGATGTGAGGTCTGTGTGCCGAGGAGCAGTGATGGGATTCCAGCTGGCACTGTGCATAAATGCCAAGCAGCATGATTTCATATCTATAATATGCACTACCCCAAACAGATATTAAAATTTTTATGGCCACATGTAAGCTTTGCCTTTTAAACTGAGTTAGCATTTTATTTGTTCTCTTTTCCAAAAATACCAATGGG